CGGATAGGGGCGCCTCGAGCCTGAGGTCGCTCGTGATCTCCTGCGTGGCCGTCACCGAGCTGCTGCTCGCAAAGCTCCCCGTGGCAGCGGTGCTGCCGACGAAAAACTGGGCGACGTCCGCCGTGGTTGCATTCAAAGTGCGGTCCGAGCGCACGGTGATGTCTTGCTCCAAGCCGATGCTTCCGGCAGCGAAGGAGGCCACCAATGTGCCGTCTTCGGCGCGGATGGTGGTGGTGCCGTTCCGGATTTGGAGATCGGCTGCAGCGCTCTGCAGCAGTGGTGTCTGCACGAAGCTTGTGGCCGTGAGGCTGTTGACGGTGAGGTCCGCCGTGGGGTCCACTCCTGGGCTGTTCTCCAGGTCGGTGACGCGCTGGCCCAACGAATTGAAGTTGGCTATCAATGTGGGTAGCGGGTGTCAGACTGTCCCTTGCTCCAGCAGTCGCAGCTGATTTGGAGGGTCGACCCATTCCCCAGGATGGGCTGGGCGGAGAGGGGCGATTGGCACAGAAGGTTTCTGATGATGCGAGGGGTGAACTGGGTCTGGACTAAATTGAAGATCCCACCGCCCTCTGCACCGGGGCTGTTGACGAAGTAGCGGGCATCCAAAGGTCCGAGGTCGTTGGTCCTCAGGAAGCGGCCGTCCGCCTCGGCCTTGGTCCAGGAGTCGCAGCGGAGCCGCAGCGTACTTTGATTGCCCAGAATTGCGGGGGACGAATTGCTCTTGGACGAGATTGAAGATCTGTCCGGACTCCGCGCCGGGAGCGCGCACAAAGTAGCGGAGATCTGCGTCCGCCTGGGTTTGGAAGCCCGCGCCGGCGATGGCATCGTCGATCTCCGTTTGGGTGCGCCCGCTGGTCCAGTACTGGGTGAGCGTGGCCGTGAGCAGGGAGTCCAGCTCGGTTCGGGGGTAATATGCCAGCAGCTCGTTGGCCACGTAGCTCTGCGTCTGGGCCTGGTCGTAGTAGCCCGAGAGATCCACGTTGCCCAGGGCGTTGGCTATCTCCTGGTCTACCTCCGCCCGCGTGTAGAAGTCCAGCAGAGCAGTTATTATCTTGCTGTCGACGACCCCGCTGGGGTCATAGCTCGACAGGGCCGAGGAAATGCTTGAGGCAGACGTCGCGTAGTTGGCCAGCTCTCCCGCCACGAAGCTCGAGACCTCGGCTTGGGTCCAATAAGCCAACAGGGCCTGGTCGATCAGGAACTGCACCCCCGCAGCGTCCTGGTACTGCCCGACGTTCAGGGCAGCGATGGCATCGGAGATGGCGGTGTTCATCCCCGAAGTGCTGCTGTAAGCTCCCAGGGCATCGGCGATGGCCGTGCCCACCTGCAGCGTCGTGCTGTAGGCGGCCAGGGGAGCCAGCAGGGCGTCCGTTTCCCCTTTCGAGTAGCTGTCCACGGAGAAGCTGAGGGTCCAGTTGTCGTTGCCCAGCTGGATGCTCAGCGGCCCCGTGGCGTGCAAGTTGCGGATCTGATTGGTCCCGGCCAGCAGGTCCCAGGTCACATTCCCGGGCCAGGCCGGAGCATTGACCAAGTTGGTTGCGCCGCCCAGAGTGGCGATCTCCGCCAGGATGGCGTCGATGGATGCCTGCAGCGCTGTGATCTCGCTGGGCAGGGCGAAGGGCCCCGCGCTCTGCAGCGCCAAGATGTCGGCGTCGTGGCCCAGAGCCGCCTGCTGGACGTAGGCCAGCAGAGCAAAGCCGTGGCGACCCGCTGGTCCACGTCGGCGGCTGTTTGCCGGGCCGCCAGATCGATCGCCAGCTGATCGACCACCGACTTGAGGGCGTAGTTTGCCGCAACAGTCGCCAAGGTTGCGTTGTTTGTGGAGGCGATGCTGCTGTTCATCGCAGCCGTCGTGGGATGGTTGGCCAGCTTGAGGTCCACCGAAGCGGGCGTGCTCTTGGCATTGACCTCCACCTGAAGAGCATCCAGGGCCGACTGGTTGGCCTTGGTGGCCAGGCCCTGGGTCAGGCTCGTGTTCACGGCCACCAACCCGGAAGCGTTGGCCACGATGGAACCCTCTGCCGTGGCGAGGTCCGCGGCCAGAGCATAAGGGGTTAGGTCCGGAGCTGCGGGCAGGGCGGCCACCTGGCCCTGTAGAGCTGCGATGGCGGCGGCGTTGACTCCGATGGCCGCGGTGTTTGCCGTGTGCTCCGTTTGGGGCGTATAAGCCGTGAGCACGGTGGCCAGCTGCCCGGCGGAGATGCCCTGGAGCTCGATGACCGGTGGTGCCGTGACGCCGTCGTCGAGGATCCTCCCGGTCAACGTGGAAGGGAATAGACTCATTTACATCTAGTCCAGGACACTGACCCCGCTGCCCGAGAGGGTCACGATCTGCATCGAGACCAGGCCGATGAAGCACTGGTCCACGCGGTCCGCGAGCATTTGCTTGAACGTGAAGCGGCACAGGTCGCCTGACCGCGTCGACAAACCGCTGGTGGGGTGCTTGGGTACACGCTCCGTGGGGAACGCCGCGATGAAGTGCGTGTTATCGTAGTTCGGGAGGCGCATATTTCGTAGCTTTGAATCGTAGGTGCCTGCCATGATGGCGAGGAAGTGGTGGTATTCGGCGATGCTTTTGACACTGTTTCTGGGAAATTGCATGGCCCCGAGCTGCAGCTGGCCCTCCATGACCGTGGCCGCCGAGACGTTCGGGAAGGCCTCGCCGGGGTACTCGAAGTTGGAAACGTGGTTCTCCCCGGTCTTGTTGAAGTGCACAAAGGCTCCCAAAAGCTTGGTAAAGGCTCGCGCAACGGTGATATTGTAGCTCGTGGAGCCCGCCGGGACCGAGGACTGCTGCACGTGGAGGCTCGGAAAGCTGAAAAGTAGACTGCGATTGGACAATAATATGCGCTCGAAGCTCTCCCTGAGGGCACTATCAAGGGTCACCTGATCGGCCAAAAGGTGCACATTTTCGATCTGATACGACAGACTCGAGCCCACGCCGGCGCGCATGGCCTGCTCGGGCTCGGCGAACTCGATCTCCAGGGCGAGATTTAGCTGCGGCGGGAGCATCTTGCCGCAGGAGAACATCCCGATGAGGTGCGGGTGCATCAGCACATCGCGCTTTTGCCCCGGCTGCACCGGCTGCGCCCAGCCGCCGGCGTCCACCGGGAGGCCCTCCCAGTGCAGCTCCGTCCACCAGTCGGACGGCTTCAGTAGAGAATACATGAAGCAACTGCGCCCGTAGTAGCTGATGTCCTCCACGCGCTGTCCATTGGCCAAGAGCTGCATCCTCTCGATGAAACACGAGGGGTCCGGCGAGCCGCAGAGCATGTCGCTGGAGCCGTCCGTGTTCCGGAAGGTGAAGGCCAGCTTAATCGACTCGGGGTCCACGAAGTCCATTCCTGGGGTGATTGGTATGCGACATACGCGGCTGGTTGTCGGCGTAAAGGTGCTCAGGGAGCTCGGAAAGAACTGCACGGACTTGCGGGACTGAATGTAGTTGGTGTTCCCCGTCTGGAGCTTGTAGTCTAATGATTGAACGAGCTCGTCATTGACGGCTTGCGTAACCTGCTCCATCACTCTTTACTTACCTATGCAGCTTCGGGTTCGCTCGCCTGTCGAAGGGCGTCGAAGGACGGCTGGGTTCCCAATGGTCCCCGGTCGCCGCGGGACTGGCGGCTGACGCGGGAGCGGTCGCTGCCGGAAGACACGGGGATCGGGATGTTGTTGAGGTGAAAAGGGGTTTGGGCCTGGGCCCTGGGGCGGCGAGCCGGTCGTGCGACGATGCGTTGCTGCGGCTGGGGCCGCGGCTCCTCGTCGGTGTCGCTGAGCGGGAAGACCTGGGGTCGCCGCGCGGGCTGCTGCCGGCGCTGCTCCTGGATCCCGTTCAGCGTTGCAAGGTCCGTGGTTTGGCTCGGCCGCGAGCCCCAGCCCGTGAGGGCGGAGGCCGCGTTCAAGCCTCCCTCGATGGCCCACGCGGTTCCGACCAGTGCCGCGCCTGCAGCGGCCACCGCCAATCCGCCGCTCGCCGCGCCCACGGCGCCAGCAGTCGCCAGGGCTCCCTCGCCCAGGAGCGCCAGAGCTCCTCCGCCCGCTTCCGCTGCCGCTGCGGCCTCCGCCGCGCCCAGCCGCCGTGGCGAAGCCTTCGGAGGCCTCCGCCTCGGCCAGTTGCTGCGAGGCAAACGCCTCGATGTCTTGAGCCGCCGTGCGCTCCACCTCTGCGGCTCGCAGGGGCTCGACCTCGCTCGGCCTCCCGATGATGTTGGGCGGGGGAACCTCGTCCGGCGGCGGTGCCAAACCGGGCGGCCTTCTGGGTATGCGCAGCGTCCGGTCCAGCCAATCGCCTCCGCCTCTGAGAGCCAGCAGCGTTTGGTTCTCTGTGACGCTTCTCGTCGCAGCTGCAGCGCCAGCAGCGCCTCCAGCGATGATCGCCTCCGCCGCCTGGATGCCCGACTCCCTCATCCTGCCACCTAGGGTCGGGGGCCTCGGTGGATTGAGCCCGTCGTTGCGCAGGGCCTGGCCGGGATCCATGCCCCCTCCGTCGGAGTCGGGCAGGAAGGAGGGCCTGATGAATTCTCTGGGGGGCCTTGGGAAGGGTACACCATCGTAGCCTTCGTCGGCCGTTTCGAAGGCAAGTGCCGGGTTGATGGCCGTGTGGGGCAGCGGCGCGTCGGAGATGGGCTCCGGCGCATTGGGGTAATCGTCTAACCAGAAGTGACTGGACGTGTAGATGCTGGCCTTGCGGTTGGGCAGAGGAATGTCGAGGGGCTCGCCCTCCGCTATATAGCCCAGAACCAAGCACCCCGGCTCAAGTTGTTTTGTGCGAGTGGTGGGCGTAGTTTTGGGTAGATTTTGCCATAGGCGCTTCCAGCTTCTCTTTGCCTCTGGAGCGTCTTTTTCATTCTTCTGCATAGCTGGCAGTGGCTGACACGCGTGCTACTTCAAGTTGCTCTACGGCCGAGAAGACTAGTTTTCTGCTTGATTTAGCCAAGCGCTGCTTTCTGCTTTGCATTGCATGTGAGATTTCTTATTTGGTGGGCGTTTTGTATTATCCTGGCATGGACGACGAGGACACAGAATCATACAGAAGCGCAGACGTTGCCACATTGCCTGATTCACGGGCCTCTCCTGACTCTGACAGCATGGATGATACCAGTGACTTTACCCAATTATACGACTCACGTCCGGTATCTCCAGAGTACTCAGGGACAGCAGAGACAGAAAGGATTGCTTTGGCACAGCGCAGCGCAGCGCAGCGAGGTCCGACCTGGCGTCGGCCCCTTTCGGCAGCCATTACTCAACAATCCTTCGTTGATTTCCTGCGTATCACAGAGGTGCCGCTCTGGGCAGTCGTTGATTTTGGCACGCATCACTACTTCCAGCAATACACATCTTCTGGAGCAGACAGGACATCAGAACTTACGCAATTGCTGTCTGAAATTCGGGGATATGACATGTCAGCTACAATTGAGTTCTTTCTTCTCTTCCTTGAAGGGGATCACCTGGAAACATTCTATGAAGATCTGTGCTTGCAGATCTACTGGTCTCTTCGCGGGGGATCAAAAGGTCAGGGCCTCCTGGAATCGTTCCTTTATACCACCACGGGTAGTCATATTGATTCCACATATGATCCGGAAGAACGACCAACAAGAGCAGCTGACACCGTGCAGGCGATTATTGATGTTCTTGACTCGCCAGTATCCTCTCCGAATGTACATGGTGGTACAATCTCGCAGGTTTCGATGGATGGACATACAGAACTCTCTTCGCCCCTTGCAGATTGCGCGTCCAGCGCGCCAGGAGATACAGCAGATGATCTTTCCTCGGAAATTGAGACACAGTCTCTCATTCAGGGAGTGGCGCTCAGATCAGACATCACTCAGTACCTGCAAAGACAGCCTTCAGAGACGCTCGATGATGGTCAGCTGGCTTTGTATCTGCAGTTTCGGGGTATCTCCTTTGACGTTGTTATGGACTGGGGAACCTTCTTTTATCTCAGGCAATATGAGTATGACGATGAAGCCCAGTGCAAGGAGATCACGCAACATCTTCACGATGAACTTGCGTCCAAGAATATCCACGAAGCTTTGTGCTTTTTCCGCTACATGCTTGAGGGCCAAGATAAAGAACAATTTTATGTGGAGATTTACAAACAAGTTATCTATCGCATACGGTCCCATCCACGACCACCTTTCTTTGCGGATGCCCTGCGTGCAGACTCGTTGCTGTCAGCCACATCGGACATTGCAGATGCAGCAGGTTCCACAGAAATGCATATCACAGCAGGGTTATGACACATTGCTTCCGTATGCATGGCTGCATGGCGAATTTCGGCTGGTCACTCAGGAGTTGACGATATCCTATAATGTGTGCACTGTTGGATCCTACGTATGTCCCGGACAGGATACATGGCAATGTGTGGCTACCAACAGGTGCACGCAGGAACGATCGTTCATTTTTCTGATCTGCCGCTACTCAGTGTGTCCAGGCTCGATATTCACAACGACTATCGTGCGAATGCGATCTTCAGAGTTTGGTCCTCAGTGGGAAAGTGGTTCAGTTTCGATGCCAGAGTACCGAACGTTCTTCAATTGCGCCTTGTTTTCGCTGCAGCGGAGAGCTTCTTCAATGCATGTGATGTTCCGTGGTCGGTTGATGCATAGGACTCTCAAGTACATACAGGCCGTTGGGATTCTCACTCAGACTGAAATCTCTCATGTAGGGATGTACTGTATTTTACCCAGCATACTGCAACCCATAAGCGAGATTTCCAGCAAAGCTTCTCCAATGTCAGATGTGTACACTCCGGCCAATCCGGAACCGATACCGGACGGGGACTCTAGACCACCTCTTCCTCGACGACGCGTAGAACGTCCTGCACATCCAGAACCACATGATGCTGTCAGGGGCCCAATCATGCGCAAGAGGAGATGCCAGAGAACTCCGCTACCGCGGCACAGACGCAAGAGCGGTGATCGTTGCAGCTGGACCACAGATAGGATGCTGGATGTGGAGCCCATTGCCTCACTTTCCATTCGAGAAGTTCCGCTTCTGAGTCAATACGGAGATCCGGAAGTGGTGCTGCCAATGACTCCAGAACTACAACAACAGTATCCACGTGGCTCCAAGCTGATGGAGATTGACCTAGGTCCTAGACGTATGAGGATTATCGATATCAGTGACATTCCAATTGCTCCGGGAAGTGCTCATGGACGTTCTACCAGATCCTCTGGTGTTGCTGCCAGGTTGGATGCACATTCTGATCGCAGAATGGCCACTGATGCTGCACCAAAATGTGACACTGGCACTAAGAAGGGTCCCAGAGTTCGTCTTCGACCTCGGCCCAAGTGGAGTGCTCGTCGTGTTGACAAGGGCCAGGTTTCATGCTCAGGTTCTGTCGCGGTTGATGGATTCAGGAGGCATTCACGGAGGCGATTCTTGAAAATCAGAGGCTCTCTACGGGAGAGTATTCGTCGCTGCCAGAGCGAAGTGAAGCGTAAGGCCCGTGTTCTTATTCCACCGGCGTACCGAAAAAGTACATCGAGTCAGTCCGTGAATCCGAATGGGGTTGCTGTGAGGGACACTGAATTTACGTTTCAGCCGCTTCCGACGGAGGCTGATGCTGCAGCGCCTACTGGGACCGTGGCACCAACAATGGAGCAAGCCGATACTGTGCCTGACCCCTTGAAGGCTCGAGTGTTGGCCGACGAGCGTAAATGTGCGCTCCTATTGTGGCAGAAGGAGCAATTTGCACAAAGAGCAGAGATGATGCGACAGAAGGTTTTGGGTACCTCGACAACGATACGTGCTCCAAATGAGAGTACGACATCGGTTGCAGCTAATGTACAGACGGCTGCGACGGCTCCTGAAGCGCAGAATTTGCCAACGCAATCGGGATCCGCATACACGAGATTGCTCATGCCAGTGCACAGCACAAGCCCATTTCGTGCGTCCACCACTCATTCTTTGATTTCGTACTTTCAGGTCTTTTACAATTCCATCGAAGCCGTGCGCGGTCCCAAGTCCGCGGTCCACGTTGTGCCGAATTCCACCTTGATTGAAGCCAGACTGTACAACGGGGATGGTGCGAGGGTTGTGGTGGTTGCCGAGGCCATCACTGAAGCCGCTCATGAGTGCAGACATTGCGTATGTGTCGCAAACCTACTTGGCAAACAGCGCGGCGATGTGCCGGTTATGTTCCAGGGAACAGCTTATGCATTCAACTTTCGGCCATGCATGTATCAGGATTCTCGAGTATTTCAATCCGCAGCATCTTACACTTTATCAGTTCATGTCATTCCGGGGCCCAGGGCAGCCACCAGGCACGCTCTACAGAATTGTGTTTCCCTGCGTTTTCGTATGTGGAGATGGTGGCGGTTTCGCAGACCGCCTGTTCGACGCTTCATTCGACGCAGGTCTCGATGCGATGCTTTGCGAGTTTGCCTGGCCGGGCAGGTCGGTGGACTTCTCACTCAGATGCATGTCATCGTCAAGTACTCTATGTATGTCTGGGACAGGCTCTTTTCGCGATGTGGCCCGAGGCGAGAGTGTATACCTCGCCGTCCTATGTCCAGGCCATCCCCCAGAATGTTTTCTGCGCTAGTTTGGTATCTTGGATGCTGTCATCAGACTCAGGTTATTGATGCAGCCAGGTCTTCGATTATTCCACCACAAGGCACTGGTGATCTGCAAGATACGCCTATCCCGTGGCAACGCAAGCGGGCATACAACAGAGCGTGTCGCAGGGCCCTACAACATGGTTCCACTATGTACAAAGGCCGTCCTTTCCAGCTTCCGAGTAGCATTTCTCAACTGTGCGCAACCACAGGACCATATATCAGACGCAGACATGACATTCCCACCGTTGGTCGTCGTCTCAGTATGCTTACGTGGAATTGCGGTGGTGCCAGTGCAATCTACGATCAGTTTCTGTTATGGCTTTTTCGATCAAGAACAGAAATTGCTGTATTGGTGGAAACGAAGTGGAACTTCACTAGTACTTGGACAGATCAACATTTCCACTATATTCATTCTGGGACCGGGACCAAGGGCGGTAGTGGTGGTGTTCTCGTGATTGTATCCCGTCAGCTGACTAGTTCACAAGCACTACGATATCACGAGGTCAATCCTGGTCACCTTTTGAGGGTTTCATTCACTCCACACGGCAGCTCCAATGCCTTCAACATTGTAGGAATCTATCAACACGTGTGGAAGCCGGGCAATCTGTCTATACGACACACGGTGTGGACTCAACTTTCTGGGCTATGTCACTCTATTCCCACGCGCAGCTGTATGATTATTGCTGGTGATTGCAACGCTACATGCCAGCATGAAGGACGTATAGTTGGATGCGGTGTGCCTTGTTCATTTGCTGCTGAGGATTCGACCGAACTGCAAGACATACTCAGGGCGCATGGACTTGTTGCATTGAACACGTTTGGCCCTGCCCCTGGTCACACCTTCAAGTTCGGGCCTCGTACATCTCAGCTCGACTATATATTCACACGTGTTGCTCATGCTGATCGTGATGCCAAACGTGCACATGCTGATTATGAGTTCCCGGTGGGTCGCCATGTTTCGATTGATGCTGCATATCACTTTCCTGTGCAAGCTAGCATCGCCCGCGCATGGCAAACGCACTCCCATCGTCCACCTCGAAACAACATCGATGTTGCTGCTCTCTCTCGGCACCTTCAAACGGGTGGACAAGAGAATTTTGCTGCTCTGAAGAATGTGGTCAGCTCCTGGGGTCAAGAATGCAACGTACCCTGCGATCCCCAGGCTTGTTTACAACAGTTAAACCAGTCTTTGCTGACAACTACGGTGTCTTTGTATCCGGCACGGAATTCGAGCACTTCGGCCCCATGGCAAAATCAACTCCAGACAGGTCGCGCGGCTCGAATGTGGGAACTTTTTCGTCGGATGCGGTCGTTCCAAGGAAATGAACGGGGCATTTTTCGGGCTTGGAGATGCTGGAGTTTGTTCAGCCAATTGCATCGCGAACATAGCAAATATTGCAAAGTCCTGCGCAAACAACGCATCACCGATGCTCTTGCGGAGGCTGAACTTGCGGCACAGCGACATGACACATGGGCGTTGTATCGCATTGTTCGTCGGTTGGCTCCTAAAACTCCTTCGAAAAAGTTTCAAATCAAGCCGAAGGGACAAATGCTGTCTCCACAAGAGGAACTACAGGCTATGGTCAAGTACTATGAAGACCTATACGACACTGCCAGAGCACATCAGGATCATGGAGAGCAGAAGTTGTCCGATACCTTTCAGGTCGACGAAGCCGAAATGCGAGCCTACCTTCAACAGATACCAATGCGCAAGGCGGTGTCATCTGATTCTGTGCCGGGTGTGGTGTATCGAATTTGCGAACAGGAACTGGCTCCTGTCCTATGCAAATTGCTTCGATATATGTGGAATGCTGAGCATATCATCTTCCCACGCGTATGGTGTGTAGCTGAGCTCATTTTCCTCCCAAAACCAGGCAAGAAAACATCGGAGGTGAAGGACTGGCGTCCCATTGGACTTCAGGATGCGGTTGCCAAATCAGTGATGCATCTTTTGGTGGATCGACTCAAGCCACATGTTCAGGACTGGGCGAGCTCTTTTCCACTATATGCTTATATGCCTGGGAGGTCAACCAGACAGGCACTGCAAGTCGTTTTCGCACACTGTGATGCCGTTCGACATCTTTGTCAGCAGGAAGCTGATACGATACATCGTCGGTTTGAGGGATGGAAACCGTCGGAGCTATGTGGCGGGATCCAAGTCTGCTTGGATCTCAGTTCTGCTTTTGATCGGGTGCCGTGGCATCATATCCGGACTGCCTTTACACAGGCGCAGGTGCCCCCAGACTTGGCGGCCATTATCTTAGGCTGGCTCAGCTGCTCTGAGTACCAAATACACAACGGTTCACATACCTCCTGCATACAGGTGGGACGTGGAGTAAAGCAGGGGTGCCGAGGATCGCCAACAATCTTTTTAGCATTCATGACGCTTATATGTCGACGCCTCAACGAAAAACTCGGCAATCGATTCTGCCAGGAGCACTTGACGCAGTACGCAGATGACACGCACTCCGCGTGGACCTTTCACAGCTACGAGGAACTTCGTAAGTGTATTTGGCAGCTTTCGGTTATCATGGAAACACTTGAGGAGTTCGGAATGTCGCTGAATGATGACAAGGCACAAATACTGTTTACAGTACGGGGCAATCTTCGACAGAAAGCGCGCAGCGAATTCACCACCAAGGTCCGGGACAAATTGGTGTTCGTGATTGAAGGAGAGCAGGGCACTCGACATGTTCCTTTGGTGCGGTCCACCGTTTATTTGGGTGCCAAGATCTCATACGATCAATTTGAAGCACAGACGGTCGCGCACAGGATGCAGAAGGCCAATGTCCGGTTTTGGCAATTACAAAAATTCTTCACGAGCAAGCGAGGTCTCAGTGTTCCTCAGAGGATTCGGATGTGGATGGCTACTATCAGGCCGACGCTTATGTATGCAGTGGACTGTTGCCTAGTCGGCCCCACTTTGCAACGTAAATTGCAGACACTTATTATGAAGCACTTCAGAGCCATTTGCTCGTGTCCGTCACACATCTATCATATCAGCGACAATGATCTGCTTGCTAAATACCAGGTTGCTGGCGTAT